CTAGCGTTTGTCCGATCTCTCTCCTTTGGACATGTCCCGCTGTGAACCAGAGGGGCATAGGTTTGAGACAAAAGGGGAAAGATTTAAAAAGGGACCTAAGGGGCAACTTTTTCACACTGAGGGTGGTGTGTGTATGGAATGAGCTGCCAGAGGAAGTGGTGGAGGCTGGTACAATGACAACATTTAAAAGGTACCTGGATGGGTACTTGAATAGGAAGGGTTTAGAGGGATATGGGCCAAATGCTGGCAAATGGACTGGATTAATTTAGGATATCTGGTCAGCATGGACGGGTTGTATCAAAGGGCTTGTTTCTGTGCTCTGCATCTTTATGCCTCTAAGTGATCTTTGATTTAATGGCATGGATCACAGTGGGAAGGCCAACTCATAGCAACACAAGACCAGAGAAAACAAGGTGCAGAGCTGGATGAATACAGCAGGGCAGGCAGCATTGTAGGAGCAGGAAAGCTGACGTTTCGGGTCTGGACCCTTCTTCAGAAATGGGCAAGTCCAGAAGTGTGTACATTAGAGAGGTTACAGGATATTCCAGTGAGGTGGAGAATCTAGAGGAGCTGAGGCAGTTCTTCTTACGATAGTAGGAATTGGATTCGGCCATTCAGTCCGTTCCAAATGATCATGACTGATTGAACAGCTCAATGCGTTTTATTGATCCCATCGCCATTACTCTGTACACCCCCGGTAATCAGAAATCTATCATTCTCCATCTTAAACTGAGCATCCACAGCCTTCTGAATTTCTAAAGGTTCACAACCCTCTGAGTAAGATCATTTCTCTTCATCTCGGAATAAATTAATCTATCCTCCCCTCCGTCCAAAGTGGCCTTCCTCATATTTTAAATTGTGTCTCCGAGCACCAACTAGGGGACAGCGCTTACCTGCATCTACCCTGTCTATCCCTTTAAGTGTTTTGTATCATTGAGATCGCCTCTCACTCTCGAAACTTTAGAGTCGGTCCAATCTTTCTTCGTAGGACACGTCCCACCATCCCTGAAACAACATCCCTGAACCTTTGTCACAATCTCTTTCCTGACATAAGGAGATCAAAACTGCACACGGTACTCCGGGTGTGGTCAGATCAAGCTCCTACTAAAGAAAGATTCACTGCTCTTGTACTCAACTCCTCTTGCAAGAACGGCCAACATCCCATTAGCCTTCGCCCTAACTACTTCCTGCACCCGAACATTCACCTTCAGCGGCTTTTCGTTCAGAGGCTGAGCGCACGATCAAGAAATCTCCTTTCGCCTGTCATTAATGTTCTACAGAATTTCCCTCCAAGGGTATTTGGGAGCAATGACACGCTGCTTGGACCCTGTTTAAGTCTGGAGGACAAATTAGCCCCACTTCTGGAACGAAAACATAAAGTTGCTGGAAAAGCTCAGCAGGTCTGGCAGCATCCGTGAAGGAGAAAACAGAGTTAACGTTTCGGGTCCGGTGACCCTTCCTCAGAACCGACCCGAAACGTTAACTCTGTTTTCTCCTCCACAGATGCTGCCAGACCGGCTGAGCTTTTCCAGCAACTTTGTTTTTGTCCCTGATTTACAGGATCCGCAGGTCTTTCGGTTTCTATATTGTCCCATAGTGCCCAGGGATGTGCAGGTTAGGGTGGATTGGCCGTGCTAAATTGTCCCCTAGTGTCCAGGGATGTGCAGGTTAGGGTGGATTGGCCGTGCTAAATTGTCCCATAGTGCCCAGCGATGTGCAGGTTAGGGTGGATCGGCCGTGCTAAATTGTCCCATAGTGCCCAGGGATGTGCAGGTTAGGGTGGATTGGCCGTGCTAAATTGTCCCCTAGTGTCCAGGGATGTGCAGGTTAGGGTGGATTGGCCGTGCTAAATT